ATCAGCGTTCATGTCTTCATGGTAGTCACCGGTACGAGTTGATTCAAAAGTTAATAAACCACCTTCAACAAAACCGTCTGAACTGCCAATGTGTACTATTATCAGCCTGCGTCCCTTTCCTGATGGTGGGTTTAAACCAGTAGATAAGTTATTTACAAAAGCGTGCCTTTGACTTGTAACAGTTTCATCCTGCCAAAATTTATTTGGTGTATGACCCTCGTTGATCCATGTTTCATCAAGATAAAATATTTTTCTTTTTTGGTTTCTCATTTCCTTTATGGTTCTTAGAAAATGTCTTCTCCATATGACAATATCGCTTCTTTCTAATAAAATAGACTTTCTGGGATTCTTTTTCCAGCGGAAGCCTATTTCTTTTAAAAGTTTCCATAACGTACTTCGACTCATTTCTGGGTAATCCTTATCATCTCGAACTGAGACAAGAACTTTATCCAATGTTGGAAATTCTTGTCTAAAGAAGAATTCATGCACTTTCCGTCGAAGTCCTTCTTTAAAATGATATTCTATTTGAAATTTTGGTTTCCCTGGAGCATTACGTGGCATTTGAAAACTACCACATTTCTCTTCTTTAATAACTCTGTAAATCGTAGATTTCCCAACACCAAGTGTACTGCTAACTAACTCAACGGTCTCATCAACACTTTCACATAAACGTTTGTCTGTAAATGATTTAAAACAATTAAATATTAATGTTTTTTCATTAACTGTTAAAGGACCAATTTTTCGGCGTTTACACGGCACTTCCAAATTTTCCATAACACTAGTATACACAATAAACTGCACCTTGCAACTGAAGTACCTACTTTTAGTGAACTGTTAAGAATTTTGAATACGCCACTTGGACCTTCCTACAAAATGGAAAAACCCACTATCACATTTTCTGTGGAATAAGTTTAGAAGGTAATTATCTAGTCAATTACTGTCGTAGATTCCTGGAATTAAAGAATTAAATGTTTGATTGTTGAAACCCTTACTTCGTGGAATGCACTCATTTCAGATAAAATAAAACGTTTTATTTTATCTAAAGAATTAAACTTTATTTTGCAAATAGGTAGGTACTTATTAAACTTTTATTGGTTATATATAACCAATAAAATAAACATCTTACATTTCTTGCAAATTCATTAGTACCTGTTAACCTCCATCACTCCGACACTGGCAACCTTATTTAGGGATTAGTAACCCTCACAACTATTGTATTCTATTCTGCTCCAACCTTTATACCTGGTGGTCATACTCAATTTAAAATTGTTTTCCTATATACTTCTGTAAACTTGTTGACAAATATCTGTTTTTCATTGAGTCACCCGTATCAACAGTTTAGGGATTTGCATACATAATTTATTGTTTTATTACTCTCTCATACATAAAAATACACTATAGTTATATCTATTCCCAGATATCTAAACCTTGCTTCCTGCTTTATTATTTTCCCATCAATTTCGATTTTACACCGTAGTGGGTATTTAGATGTTGTCATACATTTGGTTTTTTTTGCTGATATTATCATATTGTATTTCTTAGCTGTTGTATTGAAGATATGTGTTAATCTTTGGAGCTCGTCTTCTGCCTCGGCGATTAATGCGGCGTCGTCTGACCTTTACGTACTGCTTGTATAATTTCGTCCATTATTATATTAAAGATAGCTTAACGAGTCACCCTGTCTGACTCCGCTTTGTTCTGGTATACACTGTGTTAGTTTTTCATTTATCAATTTTTCAATATTTATCAATATTGATTGGTATGTTTCTTTTATACAGTAGGTGTAAGACGTCTTCGACTTGGATGCGATCGAAAGCCTTTGTCAGGTCTATAAAACATAGATATGCTGGTTTATTGTACTCGATGGCCTTTTCTGTGATTTGTCTTAGTACAAATACGGCGTCTACGCAGGATCTTCCGGATCTGAATCCTTGTTGTTCATCTGATAAAGTTGTTAGTTTATTGATTTGTTGGTTAGGACTTTTGTGGTAAGCTTAAGTGTTCAGTAGATTTATACCTCTATAATTGTTGGGGTCTTCTTTATCTCCTTTCTTGAACATTGGTATCATTATGCTGTTTCTCCATGCGTCTGGTATCTTGCAGTGCAATATTAGTTTTTGTATAAGTGTTGTCATCTCTAGGGTTATACTTTCTCCTCCGTGTTTTAGAAGCTCGTTGGTTATTCCGTCTGCTCGTGGTGACTTTCTATTTTTAAGTGACTTTATGGCTATTTCTTCTTCTTCTTCATGTGCCTTGTCCGTTCCGAACATTGGCAATCAACATGGCTATTCTGACTTTGTTTACGGCAGTTCTGAATAGTTCAGCAGATGACAATCCGAACCATTGCCGCAAGTTTTGGAGCCACGAGTGTCTTCTCCTCCCTGGACCCCTTCTGCTGTCTATTTTCCCTTGAACGATCAGCTGTAGTACTCTATGTTTATTATGTCTCATAACGTGACCCAAATATTCCAACTTTCTTTTCTTTATACTTATTCCTACCTCTCTCTCTTTACCTATCCGGCGTAGTACCTCTTCGTTGGTCACGTGCTCAGTCCAGGATATACGTAATATACGTCGGTAAGCCCACATTTCGAAGGCTATTTCTATTTCCTGAAAACTGATTTCTATTTCGTGTCTTAATTCAGGAACTTTATTGTGTTGGTTATTATTTTCCATTGCTTTAAACAGTTCCATCAGGTATCTTTCCCATTCGTTTGCTGGCATGTTATTGTATTCCTTCAATTCTGCAATTTCTTTCCGTTGGTTTCTTATGAATCTCCATATTTGTTTTTGTGTACCGTAGAAGTCGCTTTCCATCCTTTTTGTAAACTGTTCCCAGTGTTCATTTTTTGTTCTTCTTACCAACTGCTTTGTTTCATTTCGTATTCTTCTATAGTTGTCTCGGGATTCTGGGGTATTTGATGTTTTGTACTTCGTGTAGGCCTCTCGTTTCTCTTTACATTTCTCTTTTATTTCTTTTCTGAACCATGGTGTATTGTTGTTGTTTCTTTGTTCAGTATGACTTTGCGTTTTCCTAGAGCTTCTGTTGCTGCTTCTTCAATGTTGTTTTTAATTTTCTCCCAGCTCGCGTTTATATCTTCGATGTCGTCTATTTGTTTCAGCTATATCTTCTGTGCTAGCCTCCTTTGGTACATTTCTCTTGTAGAGTCGTTCCACAGTGATTCTACATTGAATTTTTCCTCGGTGATTTCCTGTAGAAAATTTTGTTTTGGTGTTATTTTCATTCTTATCTTTGCTAGTACTAGTTTGTGTTCACTCCCTGCGTCTGCTGAGTTTAAAGTTCGGATATCTAGAATTTGCTTTGGGTGGATTTTTCTATTAGTGACTATAAAATCAATCATAGATTTATGCCCCCTGGAGCTTTCAAATGTATATATATATATAATATATATATATATATATATATATATATATATTATATATATATATATATATATATATATATATATATATATATATATATACTGTATATTATGCTCGAAAAATGTATTATTGTTCTTCAGTTCGTTAAAAGCAAAGAGATTAGCCATGAGTTCTCCATTTGCCTTGACATGGTTTTCATTAAATCTTTGTTTTACTCCTGGAACTATTTCATTTCCGATTCGTGCAATAAAGTCACCTAAGAATTAAGGGCTCTTCATGAGTTATTTCATCCAGGATGGTTTTCAATTATTCGTAGAATGCCACTCTCATTCCTCTTTAGGTTTGCAGTCCTCGGGACTATAGATAGATATGACATTTAATTTTTGGTAGTCCATTGTGATGTTCATATGTATTATTCTTTCGGAGATATAACGGCAGTTATACCTACGCCTGCTCGTGCTCGTTCTTCTTTTTTCACTCCACTGTATGCTAGGAAATATTGGTTATATTCTCTTTGACCTTTACCTTTCTTTTTGGTTTCTTGGATTGCTCAAATGTCTTTGTTTTATTTATCATTTCTTCTATTATTTCTTGGTCTTTGTTGTTGAAAGAAGTAATTTTCCATGTTACTAATCTGATTGTGGGCTTATTTTTCCTTCTCGTTTTCCTTTTCTTTGCGTGGTTCGTCATCTTAGGTTCCGTTTGGTTCCGAGGCTTTATATCGGTTCTTTGAGCCTTGTTTTCTTTTACACTGGGTAGGATGCTAACCTGGCCCATCAATCTTCCTCTTTTATCCGGGCTTGGGACCGGCTGTGGGCATAAACGCGGCTTTTGAGCTACTTAATCCACCCAGTCATCGCGCTCATAACCCCAGGCAGACTTTAATTTTGACTTGTGGCAACAATTATGAGGCATTTGAAATTTGAGTAAACAATGCAGAATTTAGTGTTTTATATTATAAACGATCGCACGTCACGGTAAATGCCTCAAATGAGACGATTTTTGAGTATAGTTTATAGTAGAAGTTTTGTTCTTCTGAAAAACGTACCAGTGAAATTGAAAAGAAAGTTTTAAACTTTTTAGATCGTTTGTTATATGAAAGTTTAAATCCAGCGTTTTTAAGCATATTTCAAATGCCTCAGATTTATTGCCAAAACTCAAAACTATAATTATTTCATGCTATAAGTTTTGAAAAGTCAATATTCAAAATCCACGGTAGCTTCAAGCGTTGTTTGTGAGAGAACGGTTCATTCTACACGAAAAGTGCTAATAAACATTTTTATTTAAAATTATCTCAGCTACATTTTTTATTTAAAACAGTTTTTTCTTCGCCCTACAAATTCTTGGTAAATCGACTTTTTTGCGTTTTTATCCTCCTACCAGGGGGGTTTTAGGGGGAAGCCCGGCTGTAAAAGTGGTAAACTTTGTTTCAACTGTTTTGGCTTTACAAAATTAATATTCTTGATAAAATTCAGCTTGTTCGTATGATTTTTAAAGGTTTAGTGGCATTTTCGTCTCTGTGACTGGAGTATATATTTTTTAATGGATCAGTTTTTCTATTATTTGAAGAGTGACAGTGGATATAAAGATGTATAATCTAAGATGATTTGTTTTAGAGTAGCAACAAATGCAATGTATCCGTGGCAAACTGAAAGCAATATTCACTTACCTGGTGGAGCTATAAGTGTAGCCCATCAATTTTTAAGATGCGTTTTACACCAATTAGCCCCAAACGGAATTTTTACGCAAATGTTTCAAACAAATGCTCCAGGTATGTAGTGTTCACTTTTCATCTTGTAACTAGCTCACACTAAGATCTAAAACACTAATTACTTTTTTTATTTTGCAGAAAATATTCGAATTCAATTTTTTAAGAGTGTTATACAAGCGTTAATCGATTTTAACGAATTAAATCCTGTAGCGCCTATTCAACTTCTTTTGGAAGTAAGTATTTCTTGCAAACAAGTACTCTTGTTTAATTATTGGAACTGGAATTTCATTTAAATTAGACTGCATATCTCAAAAATTTAGCCAACAAAAAACTTTGATCATGACCATACTAAAATTAAAACTAAATTAATTCTAAATACACAACACATATACTCCAAATAACGTAAAATAATACACAGTAAAGTATTTTATGTTTAATTTATCAACTAAAGTTACTTAAAAGAAATAATTCAGTATCTTTCATTTGGGTAAAGGGACATGCTGGTATCTTGGCTTCAAAAGAATTAGAAATTAGTTGGCTCAATCGAAGTGATTTAGTCTCGCAGCGTAAACAAGATTTAAAAGAAAATGGGAAATTGAATGGAATGCTTTCTGTAACAGAAATAACAACCTTTAAACAAAAATTCACCTTGTTTGACCTACTACTCCTTTTGCTGCAAGAAGTCATCCCAATAGAAGAGTATATTTAATGTTTGTTAGATGCCTTCTTAATTACGCCACTGTGAACGCCGTGAATCTTATAGATTTATTTTAAGTCAGTGCCAAACACATTTCAAAAATATTGCCATTGATAACTTTTCCCTGTTCCAACCCTGTTTAAATTTCCGTAATCCGTTTAACTTTCCGAAAGTAGTTAACCTTGAACACCCACTCCCGATGAGCGGGCAGTTAGCTTCAGTCAGCTGCACGTGTCGTGTTGAATTAACAGTGGCGAATAAATTGAATGTTAAATTCAGAATGAGTAGTGCCAAAAAACGCAAAATTTTCGAAGAGAATCGTACGTTCCAAGGAAAATGGGAAATCAATATTTCTTCATCGAATTAAAAGGCAAACCTCAGTGCATTATTTGTTGTCAAGTACTCGCGGTATCAAAAGAATACAATATTAGTAGGCATTATGAAACCCAGCACAAAACAAAATACGACAAATATCAAGGTGAAGCTCGCAATACTCTTGTAAAAGAACTTAAAGCTAAATTGAATAAACAAAAATCTCTATTTACAAAACCGACAGCTGTTCAATCATCAAGCTTAGCAGCATCATATGAAGTATGTTTAGAGTTTGTCAAAAGTAAAAAAGCATTTAGAAATGGAGAAATGATCAAGCGGTGTGCCGTTAAAATGGCGCGATCCTTTGGAGATGAAAAGATGGCCAAAAATTTTGAATGTGTTTCAGTTTCCATCAAACTGTATCTAGAAGAGTTGATGAGCTGAATACTCATGTATTTAAAAAAATGGTCGACACAGTTCGTGATTGTTTGTACTACTCCTTAGCCCTGGACGAATCTGTTGATATTACTGACAAAAATCAGCTATTAATTTTTGTTAGATGCATCAGTGAAGATTTTTGTGTAACTGAGGAACTTCTAAAACTGCACCACATGGAAGACGGGACCAAAGTTATAAATATATTTGAAGCAGTTAGTGACTCTGTGTAAAATATAGGCGGTTTTCAACAGTGCTCTTGCGTTTGCACCGACGGATCAAGCAATGACGGGACGTATAACGGAATTGGCTGGACTTTTGCGGTAAAATGGTGTTAAGGTAAATGTACTAGTAGTTGACATTATAAGAAGAAAAAAAAACATTATTTAGCCTCAAACCCATGTAGATGAAATTAAATAAAAAATATATGTATATTCAGGTAATCTAATCCTTCCTGAATATTTAACAAATAAATTTTTGGACAATTCTGCTTTCTAAATATTTTTTATAAAATTTACAAAAATTGTTGAAAAAGTGTCAGTAGTTGACACAACAAAATGAAAAAAAATTAGTAGTTGACACATCCAAGGTTTAGTAATTGACACCCAAATATATTTTGATACTTTTATTAAGAATATGTAATTACAGGAGAACTTTAATGTTAGATGTTTCCACATCCACTGAATCTGGAAACTGATACTTTATTCTTTCTCATGAAATGAGTATCTGAGGTTGGGGCATCCTTTTGCGGGTTTTTGAGGATTTGATGAGGATTTGAAAATTTTATTACACTCACATCTTTATCATTAATTCGAAAAGAAGTTTTACTGTCATTTTACTGCTACCAGATTCAACCTATAATTCATTATTATCACTTGATGATTCTTCCTTTTTCTTACTTACTTTTTTTTCGTCGCTTTCAGTTTCTGTTTTTTAACAAAGTTTTTTTCTTCTCTTTTCTTTTGTCTCTCTTCTGCTCTTTTCTGTTTTCTTCAAGAAGCTGATCTTCTTATTTTCTTTATTTTCATGATAAGTTTGCCATTCTTTTGAACTAGCCACAGAAGGAACTTTTTCCACTCTTCTTTTTTTTACTGCGGATACTCTGGGTTCAAGCCAAAACAGTATTCATTTAAAAGGAGAGGGTATAATTTCATTTGATGTAGAAGGTGTAGGTAATTCTTCAATTGCTGAAGATGGAACTTGTGATTGTGTTAATGAAGAAGCACAAGTGTCTTGAATAATAGCAATATTGTTATGTTGAAGATTTTTCCTAGTGGGACTAGTGTGACTTTCCAAAACATCCGAAATGTTTCTACCTGGTTCAGCCTCAGATTGGTTTAATAACTCACCTATTTCATACTGTTCTTCGACTGGCTTATCAGGTTTGTTCTCTACGTAAATGTCTTCAACATTAGGGCTGTCTTCAACATTTGGTATGTCCTCAATATAAGTGGCATCTTCAATAATATTGTCTTCATCATCTGGTTCTTTCGCACCTTGTTTCGCTTTCAAATTGTTTATTTCTTCTTCTAAAAGACTGTATTTAATGCAAATGTTTTTGTAAAAGTAAAAGAGAAATAAATCTTCATTGTAGGCTCCGTTAATAAATAATATTGTTCTAGTTTTCTTAAGTTTATTTAGCGGAAAGAAACACTAATTGTACATAATTCGACATAATAGTTTTCATAACATTCAGATGGCCATAATTCATAATCACAAGTGTCAAGTCTAAACATAAAGTGTGTGGTTATCTTCTTTTTTTTTCAAATTGAGTGACAATCAGATCTGTCAATGGCGCGAAATTCAAATAAGACTACAGTTCGGCCATCCTGACACGTCTGATCGTCCTCGATCAACCTAATATTACAGTATATTAATTTCATAACTAAGATATTTAACATTCATGACTTTCATAAGACATAACATAATGGATATTTGAAATGAACATTTTCCTTTAAAGTTTAAAACATACAGTAATAATAATAATAATTCATAATGAGTTAAATAAACAAATCATAATAATCATAATTCATAATGGTTTAAATAAGCAAGGCATAACATTCATAATAGTTTAAATAAGCACGACATAACATACATAATGGATTGAAGTGTCCATAGGGGTACAAATGGAAATCATAATATCCATAACACACCCTAACTGTCTCGATGTAATGGTACAAGTAATGGATTATAAATAAGCATAAACATAATTGAATAAAAATTAAACATAATTATTTTAACCCTAACTAATAATGAAATTGATTATTTATCATAAGCTCTAATCCTACTACTGTCTATAATTCCCTCATATGGTACTTGTGTTGTTTGGAACCCAACAATATCATTCACAATATACCTATCATTTGGTAGCTCTTTCACAATCTCATACGGTCCTCTAAATTTTGGTATAAGTTTTTTAGCTACTCCAGGGGTTGTGTCTACGTTGGAAATCATAACATATTGCCCCACCTTAAACTTTTGAGCCTCCTTATGCTTCTTGTTATAATACTGTTCATTTACATTTTGTGCCTTAATTATTTGTGCTTCTGCCTTAGTTCGAATCATTTCTAAATCCCGTTCTTCCTTATCAATATCTTGTAATGCTTCTCTTAAATTATCCCTAATCTTTCCTATTTGATCTCTTCCAAAAAGTAACTTAGCTGGGGTTTCTCCTGTTGATCTGTTTATTGTATTATTGATGCAGAATTTCACTTCATGTAATGCATTTGGCCAGTTGATTTGTTTTTCATCGGTTATCTTTGCTAGAAGAGGTGTCAATAACCTGTTCATGCGTTCTATTTGCCCATTGGCTCTCGGACAACCACTTGCAATCAGTATGTGTTTGATTGTATACTCCTCCAAAAATTTCTTAAAATCATGAGAGGTAAAACAAGATCCTCTGTCTGAACTGATAATGCTCGGTACACTATAATTAGCAAAATGTTCAGTTAAATATTTAATTACTTCTCCTGTATTTGTTGATTTGCAAGGATAGAACTTAATAAATTTAGTAAACCCATCAACAACTTCAAATATATATTTATTCTTATTAAAAGGAGCTAATGGCCCATAGTGATCAATATGAAGCATTTCAAAAGGTAAATTGCCCTTAGGTATACTATGTAGATATCCTTCTGATTTGCCACTTTTAGGATTGAATTCAATACACTTTAAGCAATTTTGAACATGATTTCCAATCTTAAATTTTAATTTTGGAAACCAATATGTCTTGGAAATAATTTCAAATGTTTTGTCTGTTCCGAAATGACCCAATTCATTATGATAGTGATAGATAACTGCTGACTCCATACTCTCTGGTACATAAAATGCAATGTTATCTTTCAGTTTTCTATATACTAACCCATTTCTTAATTCAAAGAAAGGATGATCTGTCTCCTCAAGTCTTTTTCGAAGATCTGAAATAACTGTATCCTTGGACTGTTTTAAAGCCAAAGTTTGTTCAATAGTATTTCCTTCTAATACCAGTACATAACTCACTCTGCTTAAGGCATCTACATGTTGCATTCTTGTATTTACTCTGTGCTCAATAGAGTAATCATAATTTTGCAATAACAAACACCATCTCATAATCCTTGGAATTATATCCTTTTTACTCATGGTTAAGCGAAAACTGTCACAATCTGTAACTATTTTGAAAGGGATTCCCTGTAGATAAACATGAAACCGTTTAAGTGCATACACAATACTCAAGCATTCAAGTTCGTAGCTATGGTAGCGAGACTCATAGTCAGTTGTTCTCTTGCTAAAGAAAAACACTGGGTGAAATTTGTCATCACTTTGTTTCTGAAGTAAAATTGATCCATAGCCTACTTGGCTTGCATCACAGTG